ATGTTGACTACAACTACAGAAAAAAACAATTACGGTTGACACATGCGAAATTCCTAGAAGTTAAATTCTTAATAAGAAAAAGAAAATGTCATATTTAATATTATATTTTAACCATTTTCCGGCCATATAAATATTCTTTTTGTCATAATTTATGAAGAGTTTCATGTCTTTATTTGTGACAAGAGTAATAATTTATATTAACATTTCTTTTATTAGTGATGAAAGAATCAACTCTTTTCATCAAAGTATATGACTGAGATATTCAATTTTTTCTGTGATCAAAAAGTTTTCGAGTACTCTATCGTATGAACTACATTACCATAAAAGGGTTAAGAAAATTTATTTGATATAACTATACTCTGAAAAACAGTGACCAAAATAAAAATTTCTTCATCTAATGAATGATATACAAAAAAAAATATACTTTACCTTGATTTGAGATTTATACAGGAAAACAAAAAAGTGAAATTATTTAAATAGTTAATTAAAGATATAAAGAAGATAATCTATTTGAATTGTTGAAAATCATATGAATAATAATGTAGATGATAAAATCTTGTATTTCTTATATTATAGAAGTCTTCATTTTCTTGGATGTTTTCTTTATGAATTTGGTCAAGGAGATAAAAGTGTTGAAGATGCTATTAATACATCATATGGACAAACATTAAAACGTTTTCATGGATGGATTACACGAGGACTTTTTTCGGTAAAATATTTTCTGTTTTTCTTTTTAAAATTATAATAAAAATAATTATTTTAGATTGCAATTCGTTCATCTCCTTACAAAGAAGATTTTCTTCAATCACTTGCTATAGATCCGAATGATGCTCGAGAAGTTCTTTTTGAACAACAGGTTTATTTAAAAAAATTTTTTTATTATAGAATATTTCATTGATTTTTCTTTTTATTTTAGATATTAAATGAAATGATTGAACATGGTTCAAATATAAATAATGTTCTAAATAAAATAACAGATTTTTATATTGAAAATGAACTTGAATCAGATGAAATTATTGGATGATTTATGTTTTTTTCTTTTTGTGCTGTTTTCTTTCTTTTTTTTTTGTTTTTATTTCTTAAATATGTAAATTTATTTTAGATAAATGAAAGTAACAATAAATCAAGAGCAAGATAAAACTCCTTCTTTATCACGTAAAAAACGTCGTCAACTTGAAAGAAAATTAATTAAAGCAAAACGAAATGCATGGCATCATGGAGAAAAAGTTTGTTTAGTTTATTTTATTTTATTTTATTTTGAAATAAATATTTTCATTTAGATTCCAATGTCTATTGATACTTTTTCACATACAATTGAAAATCAAGAAGATTTAAAAAAGAAAAAGAAAAAAAAGAAGAAGAAAAACAAATCAAAAGACGAAACATCTGAATTAACATTTGATGAAAAGGTTCAATAATTATTTTTATTAATAAATAATTGTTTTCTTTCTTTTTACAGATTGCTAAAGAACATCATCGAAAAATTTTATTAGAAGATAATGAAGCTGAAGATGCTCATATTAAAAAATTAGAAAAACTTTTACGTATTAAATCTAATCGAAAAACTTATTTACGTGGTTTTATTGATGATGGATTAGATTATTTACTTGATTTTTGTGATAAAGATCGAAGAAAACAAATTTTGATTGCAGAAGGTTAATCAAACATTTCTTTATTTTATTTTATTTTATATAATAATATTAATTAGGTGATGGAGAAGGTAATGCTTGGTATGATGAACAAGATGAAGATCAACAATGGTTAGCTAATAAACAAAAACAACAAGTAGATTTAGCAAATCAACTTGAACATCAAGAAAATAATAACAAACAAGAAAAAACTAAAAAGAAGAAAACATCTCTCGTTAAATTTAATGATCAGGTTCAAACTAACATGATTGATGATGATTCATTTGATGAGGAAAACGAGTTTAATGATGATGATGATGATGAAGAAGAAGATTTCGAAGAGGATGAAGAAGAAGATTTCAAGGAGGATGAAGAAGATTTCAAGGAGGATGAAGAAGATTTCAAGGAGGATGAAGAAGATTTCAAGGAGGATGAAGAGGAAGATGTCGAGGAGGATGAAGAAGAAGATAATGATGATAAAGAAGAAAGTCCACCGATAAAAGAAGATATTTATGGACGAACAATTGATGCCAAAGGCAATATTGTCAAAAATAACTCAAGTAAGTAAAAGAATAGAATTATTTCTATTTTCAATATTCAAAGGAAAACATTTAAGTCTCCCTTAAAAAAGACATAACGTCAATTTTCTTTAGAGAAAAACATGAAAATTGAGATGATTTTATGATAAGATAGTCCATAGTATCATCTTTCATAAGTAACAGAAGTTTTTATATGACACTTCTTTTTTTTTCTCAGATAGATTTGAAAATATGCTTTTCTTTTTCCCAATATATAATTTTATAATTGTGCATTCCGTAATTTAAGAAGGAACTTCGTTAAAACTAATGTTTTTTTCTTGTTAGAAAAAACCATATTAGAATGAAATACATAATAGACTTTGTTGTTGAATTACCCTTTGTTACTATTGAACTAAAAGGAGCACTTGTGTAATTAGAACACCATTTTCTAAGTGTTTTTCAAGACAGAATTTTTTTCTTCGCTTAAAAAGATAAAAATTCAACAAGAATCCTCTATTGGGAATGAAACATTCGACCATCTTTTAAGAGAATCTTGATCAATTATTAAAAATATTAGTTATATTCTGGGAATTTACAAAAATGAATAGTATTGGAATGTTCAAAGTACAAGGTGGCTTGCAACTCATGCATCCTACAATAAAAATCAAATATCTCCATTAAGACTTGTGCACATTGGCTGACTTTTATTGTCAATAATAGAGGTATGTTCAAGGTCTATATCCATAAAGACAAGACTAGAGAGACTGTTCGTTAAGTATCATTAGTGATCTCAACAACAACAAAATTGACTTTTTCATAGATAAGAAAAAAAACCAATATACTTGACAAAGGATCTGTCTAGGCATGTCTTTATGGCTATGAAGTTTGAATATGCTTCTATCATTGATAGAAAAAAATCAGCCTGTTTGCTCAAGTCTTAATGAAGATATTCTATTTTTTGTCGGGTGCGTGACTTTTGGGCCACCCTGAATATACATAGCAAAGACTTCTATTTCTGTTGATTATGTAAACGTTTACTGTAAATTAAAGTACATTTACTGTTAATATAAGAAATGTTAAGAACAAAGCTAATACAAAAAATTCTGAAAAAATAACTTGCAATTCTTTCTATTTGATTGAGACTCGTCGAACTTCTTGAAAAGAGTTGTCACTAATGGATACTTCTATTGAATTATTCATCCAATAGTAAAATGACTAGAGGGTTGTGACATGCATTCATTCCTGCAGTTATTTAGTCTATTTAAATGAATTCAAGAAAATTGAGATAAAAAGCTGAGTATTATATTTATCTTAAGAACCTTTCTCCTCCTCAGAAAATCCATATCAAGTTCAGAAAATATCCTAACGGGCTAATATTTAGAGAATATATTGAGTCTATAATAGAAGGCCTCTAATAAAATTTTCAGCATTCTATCATGACGTATAATGGAGATAAGGGTCAAGAAGTAGCCTATTACATTTCCAAAAGTTCTAACTAACTCTTCAATACATAAACTTGATTTTGTTTGGTAAGAACATGTCCGGACGCAGTACATATGAGAGTCTATTGTTTTTAAAATCAGAACTCTGACAAGTTTGGTAACTGAAAAAACAATGTCACTCGAATTAAGAAGATATTTTTCAATATAATAAAAGCAAAGGCTATTTCAAAAAAAAAAACAACAACAATATTTGAGACAAAAAAAAAGTATTTATTTTAGGTGGAACTTATATACCTCCTGCTCTTCGTCAAAAATTAAATTCAACAGATGATAATTCAACTATAGAAATAAAACGTCGTCTTCAAGGTCAATTAAATCGTTTAAGTGAAAAAAATTTATCATCAATATTAATTGAAATTGAAACATTTTATCGTTTACAATCACGTGCATCGATTAATTCATGTTTATATCAATTATATCATGATAGTCTTTTATCATCAATATCATTAGTTGGTGAAAGTTTACTTTCTGAACATGCTTTACTTGCTTGTCTTCTTCATGCTAATATTGATTTAGAAATAGGTTCATATTTATTAGAAAATTTCTTACAAATATTTATTAAACATATTAATGATGATGTATCAAATAAAATAAATGATAATTTACTTATATTTATTTCATATTTATATACATTTCATATGATAAATGATAAAATTTTATTTGATATAGCTCGATATTTATTAAATATTGATCAATTAAATGAAAAACGTCTTGAATTAATTCTTTTATTATTAAAAACAATTGGATTTATTTTACGTAAAAATAATCCATTAGAATTAAAAAAATTTTTACAAGAATTACGAACATTATGTTCATCATCAACATTATTATTATCATCATCAAAACGTGTTGAATTTATGATGGATACAATAAAAAGTTTAAAAAATAATGATGTTAGAAAATTACCAGGTGGTTTTGAACCTGAACGTATTGATCGTTTAAGAAAAATTTATCGAAATTTAGTTAAAGATAAAACAGTACAACATGCTAATATACTTAATGTTGGTTTACAAGATTTTTTAAATGTTAAACAACAAGGACGATGGTGGATTGTTGGATCAGCATGGCAAAAACAAACTTCTCAAGATAATAAATATAATAATAGTCAAAAAATAGAATTACAATTTAATGAAAAAATTAGAAAATTAGCTAAACAACAACATATGAATACTGATGTTAGACGATTAATCTTTGGAACTTTATTGACTAGTGAGGTAATTTAAAACAAATGACTTCGTACAGATAAATATATAAAAATAATATTCCTTTATAATAGTTTAAAGAGAACCGAATACGTCAAAGAAAATGTTTACCAACTTGAAACTCGAATAGAATAGATTTAATAGGAAAGAAAATATCGACAATAGAATTTATGTTGTTTTAAGAAAAATCTATACGAAGAAATTCCTTTGTTAATTATGAACATTTTATTATTGGCTATTACAATTTATAACTCAAAAGTAACCTCCGATTTCTCCTGTTGCGATCCATTAAAAATAGTGTCGACTGTATTAGATATAGTGTATGGTTTAGTTTTCGACATATATAAATGAAATATTATGAATCGATCGAATGTTGATTTTAGTAAGAAATGAATGTATCTTTAAACTAGTTCTTGATGTAAAAAAGAATTACTCGTTATTTGTTCAGTCTAAATCTCGTCAAATTCGAATGAAAAAAAAGTTTAGAAAATTTTTAGCTAAATCCATCTATGAAAATTGTCTACTTTTCTTGCATGTGTGACAAACAATTCTACAAATATCGTTTTTTTTTTGTAAAGTTTGATTTTTAAATGATTTTCTTTCTGTTTAATTTAAAATCATTGAAAATCTCTCATAAACCTTTGAAACTTCAAAAGTCATATCTAAAAGACTTCAACTAAATCTCTTAAATATGATGTAAAAGTTTGTCTTAGTAGAAGAGAAACATTTTAGTCATTCTATCTTGTAAAATATTCGAGATAAAGAACTGGGTGCATTGAGGCATGTTATATGAATGAAAGAATCAATTTGCATAGTAGATTAATGCTGCACTTGTTATGTAAACAAAAACTAAGAGGAATACGATGAAATCAATATATACAAAATAAAAATAGAACAAATATGTAGCGAATGTGTAGGAACAAAGGAGATGATAAATAAAAATAAAAACAAGTAAATATTCTTACTGAAAAAAAAAACTAGATAAAATATTATTTTCTTTTGTTTATGATTATATATCCTTTGAAAATAAAACGAATATTCGTATAGATGTTTTAAAATTATCCTAAATATGTTCATCATATCGTTCTACACATAGTTGTGAAACGGTATGAAACTAAACTCTAGTGATAATAGTTAGACTGATAATGTGAAAGAATATAAAATGAAAATAAATTTCCTTGTTTAAGAGATTGAAGAAAAAAAAGAAAAGCTTTTTGAATATTTTCATTAATAAGATCAAATTTCGATTTGATTAAGTAATTATTTAATATTGAGAACAAGAATATACTTTTGTAAATTTCTGTCGATGATTTTTTCTTCTTAAATTAATATTTAATATTGAGATTTTCTTTATCGTTCAATTATTTAAAAAAAAAAAAAAAAATTTGAAGATAATTAATTATAGGATTATGATGATGCTGTTGAAAAACTTCATAAACTCAATTTAAGTAAAGTACAAGAACGAGAAATAATTCATGTAAGTTTATTTTTTCTTTTATTTAATATAAAAATTTTTCTTTTATTTTAATAATAAAGGTTACAGTTCATTGTTGTTTACATGAAAAAATTTACAATCCATATTATACATTAATTTTACAACGATTTTGTGCATATGATCGTCGTTTTCAAGTAAAATAAATTCTTTTTATTTCTCTATTTATTTATAATATTTAGATATCTTTACAATATCATACATGGGATAGATTCAAAGATCTTTCGTTACTTAATAAGCAACAATTAGTAAATTTTGGTTGTGCACTTTCTCAATTGTTAATGTCTAAATCATTAACACTCAATATATTCAAAGTAAAAATTTGTTTACATACTATATCATTACTAAAACAAGCGATGTGTATTACTCTATTAGTATAGTAGTAAACATAAGTTTAGAGTAGTTGTGTTCTTTTCGATGGTTATAGCTACCAAGACACTGAAATTAACATTTGTGTAGCTAAAGAGATTATCTAATAGCATAGATAAATTCGAAGACTTCAAAGAAAATGCTTGGATAAAGATCTGTGCAAAACCAGCTTACTGGCTTTCATTCGAAGTTTTTGGAAAAAGATTTTATTTGATAGAACAAAATGATATATCTCCTATCTCTCCATGACGTTCTTTCATCGTACTGCATTCAATTTACAGAAAGTCTTAGAAACATTTTTCTTTTATTCTTGTTAAAAATTTTATTGTTTTTGACACGTTTGATGCTTTGGGATCTTCTGTAAATTGAATACGATTTAATGAAGGAAAGTCATAAAGAGGTCCGAGATGTCTCAACTTGCTCTATCAAATAAAATATTTTCCTCAAAGTTTCTAATAAAAGTCAGACAAGTGATATAAAAAATCTTGGCTCTTTTGCAGATCGTCATCCAAATAGCACTTCTGAACTCTTCGAATCTATCGAACCTAATAGAGAATTCGTTCAGCTACGCAAATGTTTTTAAAAAATTCTTGCTAACTATTACTATTGAGAAGACAACTTAAGAATACAACTGCTCTAAACTTATTCTTCACTATACATAACTAAATAAGTGCGCAATTTTTGGCTGTACTATCGAAGTCCAAAGAGAACTTATAACATAGTATTATTTCTAAATCAATATTCATTTCTGTTTCTATTCTCTCTCAGTTTCTTCTGTAGAGAACTGAAAATCCAAACCTGACGTAGTAAAGTTCAAACATAAGTTTAAAAGGATCTACAATTTTTTATCAGAAGACAAAAAATGCTTATTGTTTTGTGGATTTCGTCTGCGCACGACACTCCAGAAAGTTCTCCAGCTTACTGGTCGTAGTCTATGTACATTTTAAAAACTCATATGATGATAATTAAATGGACGCAGAAGACTATCTTCTTACGAACGCAAGAAACTTATATATATATCGATATAGCATAACTATGCAAAACATTTGTTGATATAATACAGTATCTATTTACAAAATATAGAAAAAAAGAACTTTAATTTTCAATCATCATGCGAGCGTTTTAGATAGATGAGTATGATTGAAGAAATATGAAATTTTGTCATATTATAATAATATAAATATGAATTACAGAACATTAAGTATTAGTCAACGATTCAATTTAAGATAATAAGAATCAATTAGAAAGTTCGAACGATAATTTAACGAAATCGATAATAGTATTAAGAATAATTCACAGTTTATTTTGTGTTCATAACATGAAATTTTTATTGAAAATTTAGAAAAAGCGTGACACACACGAAGCTTGTCTATGTTAAGCAGTATATCTAGTCTGTGTCAGGCGCGAAAATCAAGATTTAACTCTGTCTCAAAAGAATTGACTCGATGATCCTATTTGAACCTCTGCTCTCTACTACTGAATGCTGATACAATTAATACCATATATTGTCGGATTTTCATACCAACAAAGAATCTACATGAATATCTTAGTGAATAATATTAATTACTTTCTTAATAAAAAATAAAATAGACAAATGTCGAGATTATGCTTAGATATAAATTATAAATTAAGAAAATATGTACAGATACGTTACAAATCGGTCGTTAATGAAAAACTGAGCTTAATTTTGGAATCATCGATTAAATAAGACTAGAACCCAATAAAATAGAACTTTTAAATCATTTTTCTATTTTTTTCATTTCTCGAAAGTGAATAAATAAAGAAAAGAAAATGTTTATCATTGTTTTTGCTCATATTTCAAGACTTCGAATTATTTTAAATAAGAATTTTTATGATGATTATTTTAAAAAATCTCATTAAAAACCTTTCTTCATCAGGATATCATATTAATACTTGTTCTATTTCAATTGATTTTGTTTATTATGAATATTAATTAGTGTTCTCTTATCTAACCAATGATTAATGATAAAATATTATCTGAATAGATTCTAAGTTAATTAAAATAATTAGAAAGAAAAAACTGAATATTATTTTTGTTTATTTTAAAGAATTTCAACTTCATCGAATTAACATCATTAGCACGAACATTTCTTGTTGAATTGTTTGTTAAATTATTTAATGAGACTGATGATTCATCATTAAAAAATATTTTTCAATTTTCATCAACTCAAAATTATAAATTTGTTAAAGATGCTCTGAAGTAAAATATTAATTTAATTAATTTTCAAAATAAAATTTTTCATTTTCTTTATATTATTTTTAGATTATTTCTTTCACATTTCATTTTAAAAAAATCGAATTATTCAGAATTAGTTCATCATCGTTGTCAGATTGCCATTGATCAGTTGTCATTTGAATAAGAAATTGTTTTTGTTTTTGTTCTTTTTTTTTTTTTTTTTTTTCAGATGTATGAAGATTATTTTTCTATTGATGATATATTATCAACTCAAGAACGTATTCGTTGTCAATTACTTGTTGATATACCAAAATTAGGTTTTCTTGAATCTTCATCATCTTCATCATTAAATGATGATAAAAAAGATGAAAAAGAAGGACAAAATATTTCATCATTAACAGCAAATACAAAACTTGAACTTCCTTATTGGATGGTTTATTCAATATGTAATTGTAAAACACGATTTGCTTCATTACCTGAAGTACCATTAATATATTCACGAATTCAACGACAAATTTTTGCTGCTGATGCATCTGTTGTTGATTTAGCTAAACAAGGTCCACATTTTTATCGTCAAGGACGTCATTTATTAGAATTAAATTTTGATGAAAAAAGACAAGTTGCAATAACACTTTTACAAACATATCAACAAAGATTTCGATCAATTATGGATTCAGCTTTTCATTTAATTTTATCAAGTGATCATCATCATCATGAAAGTATGAAACAACAAACAGCTAAATTTGAAAGACAAGAAAAAATTTTATTATTATTGGGTCAAGCAGCTTTTAGAGATTATGATAGATTAATTAATAATGAAACAAAACAAATGTTACCACCAAAAATTCAAGGAATGACCAATGATCTTACTAAAGTTCTTGCGGAAGCAATCAATAGGAAAAGAAAAAGATAAACTTTATAGATATATTTACATATAGCAGATCATTTTTTTTTCTATATTTTTCTCTTAAAATAAATATGGTCAGATAGAGTCATGATAAATTTCATGTAGTAAGAAAGAAAAAAAGATAAAATCTTAACTTTTTTTCTAGAACAAATTCTTTGTCATTGTTTCGACATCCAATGTATTGTTTATCCTCTATGAATGGCTTCGTAACATATATTAAATAATCAAAATAAAAATGTCTATTAGAGAATTATATACTAAGGTATGTTGAATTATTATCAACTTTCTTTATTATGCTGTCGTCCATTGGGTGTTGTCATTTATTTCAGCTCTAAGATTTTGTGAACATATTGATCTAAATGCTTAAGGTTTTTCGAAAAAAAAAAAAAAAAAAACAAAAAAAGAAAAAAACTTGCCAGCATTAACTGTTTAGTTTTTTTCATTGTTTCGTTTTTTGTTTGCATTTATTTTTTCCATTAGCCGATTCAAACAATTATTTTCAAGTTCGTATTATTTGTCAATATCCCACATTTGCTGTGCTACATTTAGTTTATATTGCATGATTTTGAAATAAAAATATTTTTGAACATATGACAATACGCTATAAGAGGTTGCTTGAGTATTTTTTTTTTAAATTATTATTTTGAATATATAATGAAAAGAAAAGTTATTTTTGTAGGGTGCACGTATTTGGTTACCAGATCAAGATCGAGTTTGGCGTGCTGTTACTGTCGACAAAAATTATGATGGAAAAGGAAAACTTGAAGTTATATCAACTGAAGGAGAAAAAGTAGGTTTATCATATATTCACAATCTTGGACAAAAGTAACTATTCTCTATTAAGTGCTACTATTCTTTATCATATTGAGCTAATTTTTTGAATGCATACGTATGACAATAAACTCTGATCGCAAGCATCAATCCGTTTTTCATCGTTTGACATATTTCATTTCATTTTGAATAATATATTCAGCAAAAATAGCGACAAAAGAGTTTTGTGTTCGTCATTGTGCTAATTCTAGAAAATACTGCTGTTTTATTCTAGCGCTCAAGACAGTCTCTTATGTAGGCATGGATGGTTCTAGATCGAAATTGAAATTGATGACTTCGATCCAAAAAATCCGTACTATTGATTTTGATATGATTCTGATTCTTAGAAGAAAAAAATTTGAAGTCGGAAACATTTTCATGCAAGACGATGTCATTTTTAATTTATCTTTTAACGAATAGGTAAAAGTAGTGATTTAAAAATATATATAAACAATGATTTACTAAAACACAAAGAGGATACTTCAAGTTCTGTTTAGCATAAGATATGTTCGATTCAATGATCTACGGGAGTAATCAAAGATTACTATTTTACTACGGAGTGAGAAACTCCAAATCGAAACTGATATTACAGATTTCGATAAGATTCCAAAAAAAAGTCAACTTTGTCCATTTCTATTCACATGTTTACTTCAGTGTTACTAAAGCTCGTGCATCATAGTCAAGATCTTAACGATTAGCACACTCTGAAATAGTGAGACTCATGTCGTAGTGTTAACTTGACTTCATTCAATACTGCGATTATAACACTTTCAGAACAGATTTGTCATTCTCATTGGAACTTTCTACTGAAATTTTCGAACGATGTGGTCGAAGTCAGCGTCGAAAAAGATCAACATTACTAAAAAGAACCAGTTTTTGCTCTTCAACAGACATTCTTAATGAAAAGAAAAAGTTTCAATCATTTTAAAGTGATTTCTAATGAAATTGAGACTTGAGACAGTTACAATGTTGACGTTTTGAACGAGAAGTTCGACGAAAACATTCATGATAACATGGCTGGGATAAAGTTATCACAAAAAGAAGATGATATCTGAATTATAACTCCAGTACATGTGAAATGATTGAGTATGAATTGGTACTTGTAATTAGAGTTTATTGTTACATGCATCTAACCAAAATATCAGCTCAATATCATAAAGAATCGTAGTACTTTCTGGAGGACCATTATTTTTGTCCAAGACTGTATTACAATTGATGTTAATTATAATTAGGAAATAATTTCAATTAAATCTGATTCTGATCTTCCACCATTACGTAATCCTGAGATTCTTATTGGTCAAAAAGATCTTACGGCATTATCCTACTTAAATGAACCTGAAGGTAAAAAAAGAAGAAAAAAGAAAATTTATTTTTATTTAAAATAAAAACTTTTCCTTTGAATTTAGTTTTATATAATCTTGAATCTCGTTTTAATAAATCGCAAATTTATACAAAATGTGGTATTGTATTAGTTGCTATAAATCCATATGAGGTTTTATCAATATATGGAAATGATACAATTCAATTGTATCGTGATCAAGATGTTCAATTGTTAGAACCACATATATTTGCAACAGCTGAATTATCTTATCAATCAATGGTGAATTTTTCAAGAAATCAATCAATTATTGTTTCAGGAGAATCTGGAGCTGGAAAAACAGTTAGTGCAAAATATGCTATGAGATATTTTGCTAATGTTGGAGGATTATTAGAAGAAACACAAATTGAAAAAAAAGTTTTAGCATCAAATCCTATTATGGAAGTAAGTTTAATTGAATAAATTATTTTTTTTTTTGAAATAACTTTGTTTTTAAAGGCTATTGGAAATGCTAAAACAATACGCAATGATAATTCATCACGTTTTGGAAAATATATTGAAATTGCTTTTTTAAGAAATCATATTTGTGGAGCATCAATGAAAACTTATTTATTAGAAAAATCAAGGTGAAAAGAATTGTAAATATGTTTGAGAAATATTCTTTTTCTTTTTTCTTTTGTTTTTTGTAGAGTCATTTACCAAGCATCGGATGAACGAAATTATCATATATTTTATCAATTATGTACACAAGCAAATCAATCTGATATGAAATCTCTTGCACTATGTAAGAATATTTATTAAATATTATTGTTTTAATATTTTTGTTAAATTAGTACCAGCTAATAAATTTCGATATACATCAGANCATATATACTTCCATATACATCTGATCATCCACGGCATATTCATTCCAGTACAATTCATACAGCCTTACTTCGTGATGTTCGTCTTTGTTCAGACGTTGAAACATTCGATCAAGAACGATTAAACATTGAAATAGCATTACTTCTAAATGGATATCCACCAAAATTTATCAGTCATCATTTTAAACAATTCTTTAAAAATTATAATGCTTCACCAATCTATCAAGATTTACACGTAGAAACGTATCAACAACTTCATCTTCAATTACTTAATGAATCCTTAACTACTGATCAAGTACCACAAAAATTAGAATAAAAACAGCTAGGCCAAGCACTCAAAGAAGTTCTATATAAAGGAACCATGACTCATAGTGAAGATCTTTTCAATTAAAACACTTGAAATAGTGTACGTATATCATAGTACTAATTCGAACTCATTCAATATTATGATTATGAAACTTTCATAACAGATTTCACGTTCTCATGGGAACTTTCTACTAAAATTTTTGAATAAATTCGTCATGAAAAAGATGCATATAACTAAAAAAAAATAGTATTTGTACCTCAACAGATAATCTTGACGAGAACAACATGTCTCAGTGAAAATATTCGTAGAAAGATAGTTGATATAAAATGAGCATAACAAAACGATGATATTTGAAGTATAACTCGAATATATGTCAACTAATGAAGTATGAATTGAAGTTTTTTGCAATCAAAGTTTATTATAGCATAAATTCTAAATATTAGTTCAATATCATAAAGTATAGCAGTAATTTCTAAAGGATAATTCCTGTTGTCGGGGATAATATTATAATTGATATTAATTATAATTAGGAAACCATTCCAATTAAATCTGATTCTGATCTTCCATCATTACGTAATCCAGAAATTCTTATTTGTCAAAAAGATCTTACTGCATTATCCTACTTAAATGAACCTGAAGGTAAAAAAAACGAAAATCATTTTTATTTAAAATTAAAAAAAATTTTTTCATTTCAATTTAGTTTTATATAATCTTGAATCTCGTTTTAATAAATCACAAATCTATACAAAATGTGGTATTGTATTAGTTGCTATAAATCCATATGAAGTTTTATCCATATATGGAAATGATACAATTCAATTGTATCGTGATCAAGATGTTCAATTATTAGAACCACATATATTTGCAACAGCTGAATTATCATATCAATCAATGGTAAATTTTTCAAGAAATCAATCGATTATTGTTTCCGAAGAATCTGCAGCTGGAAAAACAGTTAGTGCAAAATATGCTATGAGATATTTTGCTAATGTTGGAGGATTATTAGAAGAAATACAAATTGAAAAAAAGTTTTAGCATCAAATCCTATTGTGGAAGTAAGATTATTTGAATTTAATTATTTGTATTTTAAATAATTTTTTTTTAAGGCTTTTGGAAATGCTAAAACAATACGTAATGATAATTCATTACGTTTTGGAAAATATATTGAAATTGGTTTTTTAAGAAATCATATTTGTGGAGCATCAATGAAAACTTATTTATTAGAAAAATCAAGGTAAAATAATTTTTAAATATTTTTCAACAGTTTTCATTTTGTTTATAGAGTCATTTATCAAGCACAAGATGAACGAAATTATCATATATTTTATCAATTATGTACACAAGCAAATCAATCTGAAATGAAATCTCTTGCATTATGTAAGAATATTTATTAAGTATTTTTTTGTTTTATTATTTTTGTTAAATTAGTACCAGCTAATAAGTTTCGATATACATCAGAAGGAAATGCAATCGTAATTAATGGTGTTAATGATGCTGAACAATTTATGGAAACACGCGAAGCACTTGCACTTCTTGGTTTGTTTTAGTTTTAGTTTTTTTTTTAAACATAAATAATTTATGTATTTATAGGTATTGAAAATAAAGTTAAAATATCAATATTTCGTCTACTGTCGGCTATACTTCATTTGGGAAATGTTATTATTAATGAAGATGAAAATGACACAACATTTGTTAAAGAATCAGATAAATCATTTTCAACATTTTGTTCTCTTCTTAAATTTGATGAAAATCGTATGAGAACATGGTTATGTAATAAAAGAATTAAAACTGGTGTTGAAGTTGTCAATACAACACTTAATCTTAATCAAGTATGATTTTTAGAATTTATTTATTTTATTTATTCTAATCTTTTTCAATCAAGATTTAAACTCATTTACTAAAGATGTTGATTGATTTCGATCTTTGGCTACATGTTGTTTGTATTGAATGATAAGCGACGAGAAATAGAATGGTTTCTATTTCGAAATCTTCTCTTATGGATAGCTAACATTTTTGAATCTTTCAGTGAAATAGAATACGAGGAAATGAATCAGTTTATATTTTGAAGAATGATATACAGTGCGTGCCAACTCATTTTCCCCCTTTTGTTGTTTTGTATTTTTATTACTACATTTCATTTACTTTTTAACGTCTTATATATAGAAAGAAAGGCCGGAAAGCGCGCTGCATCTTATTGTATATTCATATGAAACAACAGATAGAGATTAAGATATAAACATTGTATAAGAAAATATAATAGAAGTTGTTTTCTCGTCACAAAATAAAGTCACATTTATTATCCATTTCAAAATAGTAGAGAGATAAGTATTTTTGGAATAAGTTTTGGGAGGAAAAAGATAGAAACGTACGGTTTTCACCATCCGAACAAGTAAATGAATCTGCATTGAATGTTATGTTTTAGATGTTCTCAACAAAGTTTATCAAAGTTTTCAATTATGTCTTTCGAAAAACTCGGCTTTTTTTGTAGTCTTGCAAAAAAAATCAACGTTATTCTGTCTCATAACGTGAATTTTTCAAAAGACATGGTTAAAGACTCTGATAAAGCTTGTTGAGAACATCTAAAATATAACATTCAATGCAGATTCATTTACTCGTTCGAATGGTGAAAACCGCACGACTCTCTCGCTTTTTCCTTTCAAAACTTATTCCAAAAACACTTATCTCCCTTCTATTATGAAATGGATAATAGGGTGTGGGTGTGGGTGAAGAGAACACTAACATCCACACCCATACCCGTCCCCCACATTCACACGCATACCCTTCTTTTTCTATCGGATCAACCTAGTCATTTGAGATCTGCATTTTCTATTGAATGACAAATGTGCATATTTATTGACAAATATAAATTGAAATTAATTTTCGGACATTTAAGAATATTTACAATATATACATACATTAAACATTATTTTAATGACAGTTTTTAGACCATCGTAAGCTTTTGTTCAGTTAAGTCAATTGATGAATAGTGAGTAAATTTGTATTTGATCAATATATTGGCAGCTAAGTGATATATTTTTGTCGTCATTAGATGATATTGTTTCTATAATTTAGAAAAAATAAAAACAAAAGAAATATTAGTATTGATACGAATCATCCTTATCAATTTACCTAGCGAATATCAGAGCCGAAACCCATAAATTCTAACTCTATCAAAAATGTTATCAAGTTTTCAATGATAATTCAATTATCAATATATTCAACGCCGTCGGCATCCTTATTTCATCTTATTTGTATACTAATTTGTCATCGCATATTATGCTCAACGAGTTTTTCTTTTCAGATCCTATGTGCTTTCCTTACTTAGAGTAAATATCGCTTTTCACCTTTAATTTCTATATCAACTGATCCAGCTTCAAATCTTCATGATTTTTCTTCCTTCAATGATTCTGATAGTTTCAGGCTTTTCGTCATATTGAATAACAACATTATGAGATGAAACTAACAAGATCGACACCATTGGTCTATTTATTCTGATTTTATAATTCGAGATTATATGGTATAATTTGCAACCATTATGATTTATCAGTAAAACAGTTCGTGCTTCAAGGATTTTCTATTGTAGGTAAAGAAAAAGCTTCATTAAACAAGTGATTGATCAGATTTATTGATTAGAAAGAGTCAAGTGTAATTTCAAATAAATCGAACTATTCTGGTCAATCATATTTTTATTAAAACATCAGATAAATAAATTGATAAACAGCTTTCAATATGTTAATAACGCTTTCAAAATGAATTTCAGATAGATTAAATGATGAACCTTTTATAGATAAAATTTTTTATTGTAATAATTGACATAATTTTTCCTAGGTAATACTCTGAACTGTTATGGTGAAAGTTTACGAGAACTTTCTTACTTACATAACAACTTGACCAGAAGTTGTTTAGAACAGTTGTCAATTTGACGATCATTTTAATACGAAAGTTAACACAAAACAAAACTTCTGTGCAAATCATGTATAGTAATAAAGTAAATAGAATGGAAAAGCACATTAAGAAGGCATAACCAGTTGAGTAAGATGAATTGACTGGTGTGATCTATTAAATATTGAAAAAAAATATTCAAAATTTTCTATAGTATTTAACAGTTATTCAGATTATTTTCACATGTTGAAAATCAAAATCGTTCTTAATTCATCTTCATTTGCTTTCTTTATATCATGTAGTGAAATAGAAAACGACGAAGAAATTATTTAGAAAATGTAATTACACTCAAATGATATACTCAGAAATAAAAACTAAACAGTTTAGTATATACTTTGAACTATGTAGACTGACGCGTAGTATACGTCAATGAAGGATCATTTCAATCAGCTGATCGTATTATAAAATATTTCTTGAAAGATTGCACAAGTTAAGTACAATTTCTACGATTTACTATCAAAATTTCATGATCTTTTTAAATAACTATTACATTCGAGTCCAAATAATAGACGGTCCAAAATTAATTAGACTGTTTGTATTTTGAATACCTCTTCTCTATTCTTCTTTTTTTGGTTTAATTAAAATATTGCATATGAAATTTTCTACAAAACTATATATGACTCGCTTCAGAGATTGTTTCACACATGTTCGAAAAAAAAGTGAAAAGTAAAAATATGTCAGTAACTTTAAAAAATAAATATTAAAATGTTGATGGGCCATGAAAAATCTATCCTGATTCGGATGAAGTGTTTCGATTGCGAACAAATACTTTATGGATAAAAAATGATCAAGAACGCTAGCTCCACCATTTGGTTGTACTCTTCCGTTGATTTACTTACAATGCTGACAAAATCCGAAATCTCCGACGTAAGATGATGTCTACTTCAAAAGGAATAGATGACTATAAAAAGTTGTCCATCGGAACAAGAAGCGTACAACGTATATCATATGAAGGTCTTAGCTGTTTTTTTTACGAGTGTGCATGTGGGTCTCCTATGTAGCAACCCTGATACCCTCAGAATTTTCTTAGATAATGTAAAACAAGATCTACCTATGTCAAATAATCAAATAGTAAGATCACACAAGATCGTACCTCTGATCTTGTATGATCATGTAAGGTCAGACGAAAATCGTACGAAAAATCGTGATGTGTGCAAAACTTACATCAAGACTTGATGTAAGTTTCGCACACATCACGATTTTTCGTACGATTTTCCTCTGATCTTAGAGGATCATACAAGATTAGAGATCTAATCTGAAGATCTTATGTCTGATTTTTCAGCCTGAATATTTAAACAAAATAAAAAATTCTCATTTAGTGGATCGATCCAACCAGACGTTAAAATTCATTTACCATCTCATGATACCCTATAGTTACAGACATTTCAATGTTGTATAATATTCCTAATCTTTTTAATTTTTGCTTCTATAAAAATATAGGAATGATGACTGACTGGATTATATTCTAATAAGTACATATAGTTGAACATGAGGCAGTTGCTTAGAAAAAAGTTGCTTCCGCATTTATTAATGATGATAGATAATGACATGATGAAGTGTTTGGATAGAGGAAAACTAAAGCTGTTGTTGACGTCAAAATATAATGCACCTCGATATTTTTTGAATATTTGAAGAACGAAAGTAGCTGAAAACGTACGACTTTCAAGATTCAAAAGAGAAATATGGAGAAGTGAAAACTTTACTGAATTATCTGGACTATGTTATTGGTCGAACTGGTGAGTTTTTGCTGTAGATTTTAACCAAATTTTTTCGAAAAAGCTTTCTGAATTAACAATAGGTTCCAATTTATGGAATCGATGGCGAAGACATTTCTCTGTCGATCTACGAAAGATTGATCTTTCCAGCTTATTTCATTTAGGAGTTATAAACGTTTTATTGAAAGCCTTGGAATCGGTCAATTGACTGCTGCTCACTCTAAACTGTATTGTGTTTCATATACTCGTCTACGCTAAGTCCAATGGTAATACTTGTTCTAAGTTTCAATATGATCGTCATTTGCTAGATCATGATTTTTGTAATTCAGTTTATACAAAGATTTTAACGTTGGATGGAGTATTCTCAAGATCTTATCTTTCCAACATCAAATCATTTCGAAGCCAAAAATAAATACCACCATTGGATTTAGCGTAGACGCGTACACAAAACTCAATACAGTTTAGAGTGACCAGTGGTCAATTAGCAGATTTCAAGGCTTTCAGTAAAACGTTTATAACTTCTGAATGAAATAAGCTAGAAGGGTCGATCTTTCGTAGATCGACAGAGAAATATCTTTACTATTGGTTCTCTAAATTGGAACTTATTGTTAATTGAAAATGTTTTTTCAGAAGCTTTTGGTTAAAATTTACAGCAAAAACTTACCAATTTGACCAATACATAGTCCAGATAATTCAGCAAAGTTTGACTTCCCCTATATCCTTCTCTTTTAAATGGTGAAAACCACAGCTTTCTAGCTAATTTCGTTCTTCAGATATTCAAAAAAATATCGAGTTGCATTATATGTTAGCACCAAGAATAGTTATCGGAAAGATGACAACACATTGTTATATGGATATCAGTATTCGTGTCTATACGAACAATTATCTTATTTGATTTGAGACTTACGTTAAGTTAAAATGTTATTAGTGATTGTTGAATGCATCTTTAATCAAATTAATAAGATTTTCAAAATAAAAAGGTACTATAATAGAATTCAGTTTATATATGAAGTTTTATTGGGTTTTCCACAAAAAAAATTTGTCAAATTTTTTGAACTTTGCACTGTTGTAACTCTATTTTCTTTTTATTTTAATAATGATCTTACAATTTTGTTTTAAATTTCGAATGATAATCGTATACCGTAAATGAAAATTCTTTTTATCGTATATATATATCT